TTAACAAAAATAAATGAATTTAGACTACATCATTTTAACTTTGTATATTGGAACATTACATACTAATGTATATATTAAGCAAAAAAATAATTAGTATATCATCAAAATTATTTCCCTCAAGTAATCGAGGTTATGACATGTACTCTCTTAGGATAGAACGATTTACTTCATCAGAATAGTGGTACCTCATATTCAGCTACACTTCGAACTCACTCAATGACAATAAATCACACAAAAAAATTAAAATGCAAGAAGAAGAAGAGTAGAAGATTAAAAAAAATTGTGGTTGAAAAATGAGAGGAAGCCGCTCTATTTATTCAACAAAGGGTAGTATAAACAAAAGTTTTTTATGTCTTATCTAAAAAGTTATGACCTTTCCGAGAAGTCACAGCCCTTTGAAAAAGTCACAACTCATCGAAAAATCACAACCCTTTAAAAAAGTCACAACTCATCGAAAAAATCACAAACCTTTGAAAAAAGTCACAACTTATCGGAAAAGTCACAACTCATCAAAAAAGTCACAACCTAAGTTAGGGATATTATAGTAATTTAACACTCAAGTTAGGAGTTCATGCTTTTAAGGTAACTAGTTTCACAGCACATGCGTTGCACGTGTATATGTATATATAGTATAGATGTTGTAAAATAGAATTAATATTACTGAATTAAAGTTTTTTAATAAATAATTATAGTTCAAAGAACATAGGACAAATGCTTTTAAATGATTAATACAAATTGTCATAGAGTTACTTGTATTCTGAGATGAAAATTACCAGATATCATTCAAACATTTCAAAATACATTCAAAGCTTAAATATGGGGAGAAAGTGACATTTCTTTAGTAGTATTATATTTTACTTCACTAAATTTTGTAAGCAAATCTAACCAACAAAATTTTTAAAAAATGTCACCAATAGTCTTTCCTCTTGAGGTTATGAACATAAATTATGGACACCATTTACGTATAATTTTTCTCTTAAATATTCATACTTGAAATTTAGTATGTGCACAACACTAATAAGGATTACAATAAATATGTCAATATTTTATTTTTATACACAATCTATCTTTTACTTGTTGTCTAATGAAAGTATCTTATAGTAATTGTATCGTGATATAAAATATTAAACTTTTTAAATAATAAAAATTAATAGATGAATAAAATTTAAAGTATTGTTTATAGAACTTTAATTTGATTTAAGATTATTTTATGATCAATCACTATTTTCTTATCTATTTTATATAGCTAGTAAGGAGTGTATCTTGTGACATACCATTTTCTCAAATTAAAATGAACACAAAATAACAGGAATTACATACTCAAAAAATTTCATACTCAATATAAATATTAAAAAATATATATGAAACGGTACATAGCCAATGAAGAAGGAAGACGAAAATATATGATCATGCTATATTCACTATAGTGTTCCATTTGATTAAAATTTCTTGTCACCACCACTTTACTTTCTCCATTCATTTTTACTTACATATCTATTAAAAATAATTATTATCATGACTATATTATCATATTATAAATAAAAGTGAAAATCTATTTTTGAAATAGTGGAATTAACATCAAAACTAATGATTCAATAGATTACATTGATGTCTGTTGTTTTAGCAAAATTAGAAAGAAACTCCTTCATTTGAGGGTAAAAAAATAATTTTAAAAAAAAACAAAGAAGAAATATCTTACCCAAATCATGTGACTTTTTTCATATTTGTTTATTATTATTGTCTTTCCCACAACATTTCATCATTGTTAATCATGGAAATCATAAGAAAAAATACAAGTGTGAATTTATGAATGATTTGCTACATTTGTTCACCAACTTTTTCTTATGTGGTAACTCGAATTTTGTTGAACTTTGAACTTAATCAACTGTTGCAAATAACCCTGAGATTTTTTACGAAGAAGAAGAGTAGAAAACTTTAAAAAAAATTGTAGTTTAAAAGTGAGAGGAAGCCCCTCTATTTATAGCTAACAAATAGTAGTATGAATAGGTGTTAATTGTGCCTTATCAGAAAAGTTACAACCTTTCGAAAAAATCACTGCTCATCGAAAAAATCACAACCTTTTGCAAAAGTCACAACTCATCGGAAAAGGCACAACACTTTGGAAATGTCACAATAACCCTTTGAAAAATTCACAACCCTTCATAAAAGTCACAACTCATCGAAAATGTCAAAACCCGTCAAAAAAGTCACAACTCTTTAATATGAAAGGCTATCTACTTTTAATATAATACAAATAATTAAATTAATAAATAAAATAAATGAAGTATTTTTAATTAGGGGTATTTTAGTAATTTAACATTAAATTTAGAGTTCATGCTTTTAAGGTAGTATGGATAGATATAGATATAGATATAGATATAGATTATTTTTAGTTTTCGACCGTGTTTGACAAATTATAAAATAAGTTAAAAGTCAAAAGTAGATCCCTTCCTATTTTTTATTTTTTGACTTAAAAGTCATTTAAGTTTAACAAAAAATATTATCTTAAAAGTCATTTTAAAAGCTATTTCTTTAAGTCAATCCAAACGGGCTCTAAGAGTGTTAAATGGGCTAAGATACAAGATTAAAATGTGATATCTTTGAGATGTTAAGTGATGTCTTGATCAAGGAAGTGAATATGCATTGCATTTTTTTTTCTTAACCAAAGGTTTTATTTGATTTTCTTGATAAAAGTTTTTAACAAGGCAACAAATATTATGTGTCACTATATTTTTTCTCAATAGAATTTTACTTTTATATAGACATTCAAGGGGAGTGTTGTAAAATGAATGTCCACACATTATAGTTTGTGTTGTACAATAGATATTCAAACGATATACTTTATGTCCAAGTAACTTTGTTTCCAAGTAAACTATGTTGCCAAATAACTATGGGCCCAAGTTTTATATAGATTATATATGTCTCCCTTTTTGTAATATGAAATAAAAAGAAGAAAATAATAGAGAAAAGCTATTGTTATTACTTTGTGTCTCTCTTTATCTATACTCTTCTTAATTTTAGTACATTATCTTTAATTTATGGGAAAATGCATAAGTACTCCCCAACCTATGCCCAAAATCCATGAGACACACCTAACCTTTACTAAGATCCTATTACCCCCCGAACTTATTTTTTAATTAATTTTTTACCACTTTTCGACCTACGTGGCAATATAAACCAAATAGGTTGAAAGCTTTGTTCAACACGCGTTGGGCCCCATTTTTTCAACTATCATAGTTATATACTATCATATTTGTTGTAGTGAATACAACAATATACAGCCGACCAACAATACAATATTTCTCCAATAAACCCAAACCTATTTACTTTCCAGCGTACAACAACAATAAACCCGATACCCGACCTATGTCCTTCTTCTCCAATGCGAAAAACTAGAAAAAGAAATGCCAACCTAGGAACGGGTGCTACTAGTACCAAACAACCCTACCCCCGTACTTGCCCTCGTCTTCTTCACACGAAATCATCCAGAAAATTCGGAAAAAGTATGACTCCGACCCGTCAACATCAGCAACGGTGCCAACAGTGTCCGCCGTACGCGTCGTCCTCCTTTTTTGCAGCAGACGTGTTCCCATCTCCCTTTCCCCTTTTTTAGAAATTGCTCATCCTTTCACTGTTGGCCTTGGAAAAGAGACAAGAAATTCAAATTTTTCTTTGAATTTTCACTCGATTTCCCCCCCTAATCTGCTCCAATTTTTCCCTATACATACTTCCCTCCTTCAGCGTTTAAAGGACACTGATTTATTACTGAAAAATAGTCAAAAGAAAGAGGTTGGAAACAAAAAAATACAGTGATATGGATTCATAAAAAGAAATCGATTTATGTAGTTACTAAGTTAAGAGTTTCGAGTCTAGGAGTCTTGTTTTTGAAACTTTTCGTCAAAACTTTTCGAAGCAAGGAACAATTTAACTAGAATGATAATGGAGGTTTTTTTTTTCAAAGATGAAGAACACTGATAAAGAAGAAGACAATTGAGTTAATGTTTATTTTTTTCAAGTTTATTTTAACACGTGGCCAATTTTTATTGGTCAGTGTTGTCTAAAAACTGCACCCACGCGCCTAACATAGGTGAAGTCACGGACTTAGTCACGTAGATAAAAAAGGGGTAGAAAATTAATTAAAAAATAAGTTCGGGGGGTAATAGGACCTTAGTAGAGTTTAGGTGTGTCTCAGGGATTTTGGGCATAGGCTGAGGGGCTACTTATGTATTTTTCCTTAATTTATAACACATACTAATTTATTCAGAAATAAAAATAAATCTCATGGTGTAAAATGATGTCCACTTTGTATTGTAAAATTGATGTACACACAAAATACTTTGTACCTAAGTTTATACATATATTTATATATATTTCTCTTCTTATAATAACAAATAAAATACAAGAACAAATGAAAAGAAGAATATTATATCTGTTATTTTCTTATGTCTTTTTTGTTTTTTGGTATTGATACTTATATATATTTTATAACATCTCAAACTTTTTCACGTTCTAACTTCTAAACATTTTTTTTCCTTCTTTTCTCTTTTCTTCGCCCACATTTGTTGCCTTCGAAAATCAGATTCACTATTTCTGTAATATTCGGCGTTTTCAAGATTTGACAAAACTTCAACGACTTTTATTATTGCTTTCGGTGATCCCTCTCTTTTCGAATAATGTTTGATTCAAAAAATGAGAATTTTGAAATATTATTTTTTATTCGAAGAAGTAATTTCTCTTATATAGAAGAGACAATTTCAGTAATTTCAACATGTCTACTTATTAGTTATTTAATTGGCAAATACGGATGTTTTTGTCATTTCAACTTCTCAAATTGATAAGGTAAACATGGGTATTCTTGTCGTTTCAGCTTCCCAAAGGCTGCATTGTATGGATACGTGTCTTTCTCTTTGTAATTCATCAAACACGTACTCTTCTTCAATTTAACTATAATTTTAAAGGCACCTTCATTTTCTTTTGTCTGCTCATTCTATTTGCTTTTGCTTAGTTTTTTCAATTCCTTCTTGCTTTCTTGTATATACAAAAGGGAAAAGTGTTGTATTGTATATAAAAGAAAAGTTTGTCGTTCTGCCGAAGCTGCTCTGTTTATACTGGTGTTATCAGGTCTACTTTCAGTTGTTATTTTCTCCTTTTTCAATTAGATTTTCATATTTCTTTCCACTAACATTAGGTTCAGTGGCGGAGCTAGGATTTTTAATAAAGAGGTTCAAAATCTGAATAACTAAACATACGGACTAATCAAGAGGTTCAACATCTACTATATATACATGATTAAAATATTTTCCATCAAAATGAACCTCTAAAAGAAGTTTGGCTCCGCCCCTGATTAGGTTGGATTATAAATTCTGTGTGATTTACTTTTGTGCTATATTGAATGAGTTTGCCTTTTTCACTGGCTATATTTTTGGGATTTCAAGTTTGTTCGAATTTATTTTGGGGGCCTACTAAGTTTGAAAGCCTTAATTTAGGAGCTCCAAAGCTTTTGAAATTACAGCTGAATCGGACTTTAAGATTTTGCATGTGTTGTGGTGAAAAATTGCTTTGTCGTTTTGACTAATTAAGTTGTAAAGAAGGGTAATTTCAGTTGATGTTTTCGAGATAGTTTTCCTCCATGGGTTTTATTCTGGGTTTCAAATTTTGATTTCCAAATTTCTTTGTTGTTGCATGGAGTTAGTTTGTTTTTTGGAATAACTATTTCAATCAAAATGCATAAGTTTAAAAGAAAGCTAAATGGAGTTTGACAAAGCGAGAGGTTATAAAAAAGATTATTGAAAACTTGGGAAATATCCATTCTTGGCCTTGTTCTGTAGGGCAATAGAGAAAATAGATATTTTTTCTGCTTTTTAATTTCTTAAATATTTTCATTGCAATTCTAGAAGTCTTTGTGGTGATAGTACTAAATGCCCATGTGATCTGAAATGCTGCAAGGATCTTGTTGCTTTCATAGTATTTTTAGACGAAGCATCAAATTTCAAGTTACTTTTTCTTATTTAAATTTATAGTCCTAGTGCCAAATCAAATGAACAGTTGCTGATCACATACACCAAAAAAAGTATAACTTCAACATCTTCCGGTAATAACAACTACAAATTTCACAAATTATCCTGTTGTATCTTTATTTACACTTTTTCACAATCTTCCAGGGCCAAATAGTTTGCATACAGGTTGAATTTTCACTATTGGATGACATTCAATAGTTCTATATGTTAGCACAAAGGAGATTTTATTGTGCAACTTGCCGTCCTTCCACAAATCATATTCCAAGATATAACAATGACTAAGGTATCGTTTAGAAAACTTCAATCAATGTTTGTTCAATCAAGGAACATTTTTTTTCCCTAATTATCTCTTTTTATTATCATTGCTAACTATGGTTATGATATTATCTTTAATTAAAAGCTGCAGAGAATAGTCTATGAAAACTATAACCATGATCTCTTTTTATTTTTCTCCAAAAACATATCTAAATTTCAACTGACAGAGAACCTAAACTTGAAACATCTCTTCAGCTTCCTTTAATGATAATCTAAGGTTTCACAAACACAGAGCATACAAATTTATATGTTTTTGGAACAAGCTTCAACTCAATTCTTGTGTCTCTAAATTAGAGTAGATTGAAAATTCCTTACTTTTGAGTCTTTGTTGATTCCTCAAATTTGAACTGAAAACATAAACAAATGTCTTCTGTTTTTTAACTGTAGAATTCTATTTTTTTGAGTTTTACTTTGGGGTTTGATCACTCCATATTCAAGAATTTCAGTTTCGCTTTAGTTATTAAATAAATATACAAAAAAAAAGAGGAAAAGTTTTGTATTATATCTAGAAGTTTTTCATTCTGCCGCAACTATTCTTCTTATCTTGGTGTTACCATACAAATATGCTTTGATTTGTTATCTTTTCCTTTTTATAATTAGATGTGTAGTAGGAGCTTGAACTCAAGTATTATGATGAGTTTATTAGGCTTTCCCTGAGAGAAAGCTCCCCCAACCCCCGTGAGTCCCGTCCTCCCCTGCTTTGAAGTAGAACTCGAAAATCAGGACACATAACTATAAAAGAGTAGCTACCAAAACAAGCTCCATAAGGCCGCACCTAAGATCCGAAGGAGAACTAATTGCATACCCCAAGTTAGTTTTGCTCATCTTAAAGACATTTATATTCAACCAAACATGCTGCCAAACTTTAATCCATTCATGTATATGCTGCTTAAAGGCGTCATAATAGCCATATGTCTATCAATAGCAGCTAATGATAATGAATTCTCATGTCTGCATTATGAATAAAAACCGTCATTCTCAGCACAGTGACCCTGAATTTTTCTTTTTATCTTTCCACCTAAATTGCATTTTTATATGTCTTTCTTGTGAACTTACAAATAAAATGGACAATATCAATTTGTAATTAATTACAACTTTAAATCATCCATTTTTACCTCTCTAATTTTCACTATCTTATCCGCTTTTACAACAGATGTCAATTTGAAATTACCATTACAGACAACAGTGGTTCGACAACAACGCTAATCACAGATCAACCTGCTGAAACAATGTTACATTTCACTTCAGAAAAAGTTCACGACATTCGTTCCACTAAGTATATATTACGCCTAATTAAAATAAAATACAAAATAAATACCTATTGTTAACTAATTTTTTCTTATCCATAAAAACGAAACAAATGTTGCCTCTTCCAAATATGACAAAACAATTAACTGGAAAGACAATCACCATTCAAGTCAAAAGGTCATTTGCTAAAACTACTGGAAAATTAATTGTCTCAATATGCGGAAAAAGAGAACATCATCAGCGCACCACCGTCACCTGCTCCAATGGACACAACAGGAAGCAGCAAAAGAAAGATCGAAAATCCTGTCACAAACAAAAAAGACAAACAAGAGGCCACTTCCCATCACAAGCACGTTCTGAAGGTGAAAATTGTCCCTCCAAAACACTATAGTAAGGTATATAAACTTCTCCTTAAACTATACCATCTCATGTTAGACTTACTTTTTCAGAAACTGCATTTCCTTATTACAAATCCAACTGAGATGTCACACCCATCACTACAACATTAAACAGATGCTCAAAATATAATTTTTACTAAATAAAAAAAAATCCAACAGAAAGTAGATCTATTTTAATGTATCTTCTTCGTGAACTTAGAAACAAAATTAGCAATCTATATGCTTTTATTTTGTGCATCTATATGTCTCACTACTTCTACATTCAAAACTTCAACTAATTGTTGCACTTTAATTTTTTTAATCAGTGAAAAGCCATATCGCCTACATTTTGCAATATGATTGGAGCCATTTTTTGTCACTACAACAAGCATATGGACAAAGTTACTTTTCCCGTTCACTTCCAGGCGATGCCAATCACTAAAATATTGTCTTACAATCTCGCTCACAGCAAGAGAAACAACACTTTGGCTGATCTCCAACATAATGCACCACTTTCCTTTTGATTATGTAAATAAAATGTACATACCTATCTTGTATCACACTGGTTGTGTACTTAATGTTGACACCCAATTTTGACCCTCCCCGAAAATAATTAGTCATCGAGCTTCTCCAATTTCAAACGATTTCAAATAATTAGTTTTAGAAAATTAAAAAAAAAAAAATACTTTGAAAGTTATTTTAAATAGTTCATCACTTATTTATAATTTTTAAATAATATATATGTTTTATATAATTACATATGTAATTAGTACATTTTTATGAATATTCGAAAGTCGTTTCAATTTTTTTTTTTAGTTTTACTTAAATATTTTGTTAAGTTAATTAGTTGTTTATATTTTGAATCATTAGTTTATTAAGTTAATTATTTTATTTCGTTAAGATTAAAAAGCTCCTTAATTAATTTATGAAAATTTTATCTTGTTTAAGTGTTGATCAAATCCACCGACTAAATTCCAATCGAAATTCGGTTATTATGGCAATTTTAGCCAATTTCTTCAACCCAATTGCAAGATCAAACATTTTGGGCCAGCTCCTCCAGCCCAATCTCTATAATCCAGTGGCCTAAATTCAATACCCATTAACTCATTCTCATACATTACAACATACAACAATACATACAATTCCAAACAACATCACATACGTACAACAACTTCAACCGACCCTTCTGTATCTTCTTCTCCAGAAGTCGTGACCCAGCAGCACCGGCCCAGGGAGAACAAAGCCCAAATCGCAATTCAGTCCAGCAAATCGACCCATGTACGCGTCCCACCTCTCCTTAACGCGTGAACCACTTCGACTTGAGAAGACGCGTGAATCGGGCAGCACTGTAATTTTTGTTGTCGTCTTCTTCAATTCCTCACTGCAGTACAACAGAGCAGCATAAAGCAAGCACGCGTCCTACCTCCCTTTCCTCTTCGGAAATGGGATGATTTTTCAGAGAAAGGGTGTCCTCCCTAAAATGGTGAAAGTTTTTTTTGAGTTTGAATTTGAAGTTGGGCCTTGTGAATCCGAATTTTGATCTCTTTCCCCCTAAAAACGAACCCTAATTTTCCCCTATAACTACTTCATCTTCTTCACTGTGAAAGGGGCGGGAAAAATTTTGAGTTAAAGAAAAAGTTGGAATTTTTTTACTAAGGGCATCAAAATAAATAGCTAATACCTACTAAATATATTTCAAGAAAAACAGAGGCGGTATTCACTTTTTGGGGGGTTTGATATTCTTGCCCAAGCTTCTTGGCTATTGTTCGTGTTTGAATTCGCATGGTGGGAAAGTCGAAATCAAGCTCGTATCTGTCCCGAAACGCTGCTCTGAAGAAGGTATGTCCTTATTTCCACCTCTCATTTTTCCTTTTTGGATAATGGGTGTTCTATTTTGTTTTCTGCCTAAAGATCATTAGCTTATGAGCAATTTCACTGTTGACTTGTTATACCATCGTGATATAGTATTGTGAGTTAAATGTTAGCAAGATATAACTAATTAAGTTTCTTTTTGTTTAGTTATTGCCCCCATTCGTATGTTGCAATTCAAGTGTATTTCACCAAGTTATTTTCACTCACTTTTTCATCATTTAGTTTGTTGAACTTGGCCATCATGTGACCGTGCCTTCATCTGATTTCCTTGCTGGAATAATCGTTTACTTGATGAAAATTTCTATTGACTGTGATGTCTTGTTGTCTTTGCTTCCCTCTCGTTAATGGTTAGAGATACAATTGTTTTGGATTTTTAAGTTGATTAGTTGAAGATTTTATTTTATTTTATTTTTAATTCCTTCATTGTTAAGTTCCATTGTAGGAATTATATTTATTTTTTAATCTATTGTTGGGTTTGTTTGATAAGCTGTCGTAGCACCCATATATGTGTCTTTTTGTTTAGTTACTGCCCCCATTCGTATGTTGCAATTCGAGTGTATTTCACCAAGTTGTTTTCACTCACTTTTTCATCATTTAGTTTGTTGAACTTGGCCATCATGTGACTGTGCCTTCATCTGATTTCCTTGCTGGAATAATCGTTTACTTAATGAAAATGTCTATTGACTGCGATGTCTTGTTGTCTTTGCTTCCCTCTCGTTAATGGTTAGAGATACAATTGTTTTGGATTTTTAAGTTGATTAGTTGAAGATTTTATTTATTTTTATTTTTAATTCCTTCACTGTTAAGTTGCATTGTAGGAATTATATATATATTTTAATCTATTGTTGGGTTTGTTTGATAAGTTGTCGTAGCACTCATATATGTGTCTTTTTGTTTAGTTACTGCCGCCATTCGTTTGTTGCAATTCGAGTGTATTTCACCAAGTTGTTTTCACTCACTTTTTCATCATTTAGTTTGTTGAACTTGGCCATCAATTGACCGTGCCTTCATCTGATTTCCTTGCTGGAATAATCGTTTACTTAGTGAAAATTTCTATTGACTGGGATGTCTTGTTGTCTTTGCTTCCCTCTCGTTAATGGTTAGAGATACAATTGTTTTGGATTTTTAAGTTGATTAGTTGAAGATTTTATTTTATTTTTTTTATTTTATTTTTAATTCCTTCACTGTTAAGTTGCATTGTAGGAATTATATATATTTTTTAATCTATTGTTGGGTTTGTTTGATAAGCTGTCGTAGCACCCATATATGTGTCTTATAAGAGGTGTATGAAGATAACTTCTTAACAACAATGTATTTTTCCTTTAAATGTATGTTTCATATGGTGTTCTTATATTCGATATTAACACTTGAATATTGGTATTAGTTTGATTCCTTTGCTTTTAAATTAAATAGATTTAGTTTCCTCTTGCATAGTGCCTTACTTGTAAATGATGAAGTGTAAAGTGACTTCACTGTTTTTGCTAGCTCAATATGGATACAACATATATTTTCTTTTCCATGTTTAGTAAAGCGATATCTTTTAGCAGATCTTTTTTTTTTTAGTTTCCAACTTATCTCTTTGTTGATCAACTTAAATAAAAATGTGGTTTCTCATTATCAAGTGTATGCTTCTTCTTTATTAATTTGTATCTCTTTGAATCCACTAAGTGTACATTGGTAGTAGCTTCATTTTGTTGTGAAATGTCTAGTTTGCCTTGTTACAAATTAAAGTCATGCCTTAACGTGTTCTTATTAAAGATGTTGTTCTTGTGAGTAAGTTTAAGTGTGAATACTAATCTCAACACACTTTCTTTGCATGTGAAAATTTGCTCTGAGTTCACCATGAACTCCCTCTCCTTCCCTTTGCATTTTGTTTGGGCCATGAAGGCCCAATTTCTTCATTTTCGAGTCGGCCAGCCTTCGAAACTGATGAACAGATGTCGAGAAATCCATGCAAGGCTGGAACTTGAACTTTCAAGTCCTAAGAGTCCGAAAAAGGATTGATATGCTACTGTATACAGTGATATACAGTAAAAACGCAATGATATACAGTGCAAAATGTGGAAAAGCAGGTTGAAAATGCGGAAATATAAAGTCCGAATTGAAATACAGGTTCGGGAGTCCAAAAACAAGGCATAATATACATGGTGTATACATCATTTATACACTCAATATACATGTTGGTACTTGGGTAGTAAAATGGGCCAACAACCCAAATTTCTTCAAGTAACAGCCCAAATGCGTAGAGACAGCAGGTTAAAGAAATTCAAATGGGATAAAGCCCATTGTTTTTTGGATCAATTTTAGACTTTAGGACAGGTGGGCGAGAAGCCCAATTTAATTGGACTTGGGCTAAAGTCCAACTCCAATTATTTCTTTTCCCTCTCTTATTTATTTTATTGTATTTGATTAACACTTTGATTATCTTATGGTTTAATTTAATTAAATTCTCAAGGATGGTCATGTCATTTTATTTTTTTCAAATTGAAGTATATTTTATTACTTAGTTCTTATTTTAATATTAGTTTTGTCAACACTTAATTTATTGTCCTCTAGAGAAATCCCCCCCTTAGTTCATGTCCCCTTAAGATAATTTAGGGATGATAAATAATAATAATAATAATAAAATTAAAATAAAATAATAATAATAGTAATAAATAAATAGGTTAAAATAAATGAGTTATTTTACTTAGTTAAAATTTCAAAAATTAGTCAAAGTCACTTTTAGTCAAATCCCCGGTCAACCGCAAGTTAGCGGGCATTCCGAGGGCCTAACACCTTCTCGGAATGTACATTGAACTTCGAACCCTGTTATTTTCAATTAATCTTATCTGTTTAGGTCTTTTAAAAACCTCAAGTTTTTTCTTGATTTTTACTAAAAAATTAAGTGGCGACTCTATTCTTTTGGAAATTCGATTTCTCTTAAACCATAAGTTTGATCATCGATTTTTTGAAAACTTAGTCACTTTTCTTTTATCTATATTTTCGAGTAAAACACTTAATATACAATCTTCATATATGGATGTGTCACACTTACTATGTTGGCCCCGTGCTGGCACGGGCCATCCACTTCTAGTAGTAATAATAGTGACTCTTCTTTTTAAGTGAAAACATTCTTACCTCTCAAGCCATAAATGATAGGTTATGTAAATTTTATCATTCACATTTCAATCAAAGTAATGTGTAATAACTCATACGTTCTCATATGAGTTCCTAGCACATCTAAAAATATAATATATTTATTTCAATAGTTTATTCCATATTACTTTTGAGTAGGGACATGCAAAAAATAATAATTATTACAATCTTTATATCAATTTGATCACATATTAAATAAGTAGTTAAATGAAAGCTCTGACTTCTCTCTTACTTTTCTCTCTCTAAACAAATTAGCCGTTGTTTATACCGTTGCAACCCAGGTGACTTTCGACCGTCGGACGTATGTCCACCACTGTGGACCTCTCGGTCCTCGGTGACAGTCGTAGACTAACCGCTCCTCAAACTAAAGAGATCTCATCCAAACTAGATCAGTTTCCCCCACTTCCCTCTAAGGTTTGGAACAAAAACTTCTGTCAAAATCCACAAAATTCTGTTCCTCTAAACCAGATTCTTCCTGGTCTTGTTCCGGTGAGCAAAGCGATGGAAAATCCAAAACCTACATATGCCAACCTTG